ATTAATTATTATTTAATCATGTTATCTTTTTTAGTTATGTTATTTTTTATTTATGTTATGTTTTTAATTACTCAAAACATTTAACTGATACGTATGTATGTTACGCCTAAACCTGCACGCAATATTTGTAAATAATAAAATATATTTTTGAAAATGTGCATTATCTAGTAATGGCATTTATTATTCTAATATTGAAACAGTATAAAGGTATCTATGACCTCCGTAATAAATGAAGTATTTACGGACTTTTATGTATATTAAGGAATTGAATCAATTTTTCACGTTCCATAATATACATAAGAGATATATACTTAATATACATATTAATATACATTCTCATCCGATTGAAAAAAATGTAATTTAATAAATATTTTTTTTACAATAAATGCTTCTAGTAATAAAACAAACGCGACATATGTCATTGAAGAAACAGCGTACATCCCTTCATTTGTATATTTCTTCCTGCTTGAAATTATTTCACATATTTCTTTTTTCACAAGCAAACTTCCGATTACCTTAAAATTTTAAAAATATCTATTTTTTCATTTGCAAGAAATTTTTACTTTAAAACGGTTTTAAATACTCTAAAAATTTTTTCCAATAAATAATATGTCTTTGCTAATTTCTAAAAAAAATTTTCATGAAAAAGTTTACATTATTCTTTTATCAAGATTGATTTAACAGTAACACTAAAATATCACTAAATATCACTATAGCTCACTATATCACTAAAATAAAAGAGTTTATGTTTTCTTACAATAAAAGTTAAATAGAATTAATTCTTCAAAATAGCGTTCCAATAAAGCATGGTATTAAAATGTAACGTTATTTTTTGTGATTGGTTCATTAATAAATAATTTCTATTTCTTCGCAAACACAATTTCTTGAAAAAAAAAATTTAAAAATTAAATCTATTATATCCAAAAAGTAGATCATTTTATAAAATATAAATTATTGCTTTTAATAAAATATAAATACAGACTATTTGTAAAGTGATCCTATCAATAAAAAGGTGTTATTTTCTTTTTTATTTCTCTACTAAAAGGAATTAATGAGTTATTTTTATTCATCATGACTAGTCGAGGAGGAGAAAAAGAGGAGTACCACCACATTTACGCGTAATCCATCGCCAATTCCACCTGCAATCGCCAAGTTTATTATCTACGGTATGTTTTGTCAATACGCCCACGGTTAGCCAGGCGGAAATGGGACTCTAACCCATGATCCGTCCACCACTGAGGATATTTCACGCCAGCACTGTGGTTGGTAGGTGCAAGCCGGATGCGGACTCGTATCGGTCAGCTATCATTGGGAATTGAACTCGGTTCACCTCATTGGAAGGCGAATGCCCATAGCCATCACGGCTCAAAGTATAGGAGGTAGTCATAATCAGGGGGAAATGGTCCCCATAGTTTTGTCCTCAGAGCGATTCAAAGTTAGGACTCCGCAATGTTAATTTTATGTTTTGCGTATTTCACCATATTTGGAGAACAGTAGTGGATTAAAAAATTTTTTGCACATAATTATAAAATTCGTTTATCCAAAGTAAATAATCCAAAGTTAATAACAGTAAAAAAAAAATTGAACTGTTAGGTATACATTCTTTTACATCATAAAGAATATAATTTAACAAGCAAAGTACCAAATATGACCGAAATCGGTCGAATAGTTCTTGAGATATCAGATTCTTAAAAATATTTTTTTTTTTTAAATTAAGATTTTCTCTTTATGGGCACTGTGTGTAAATACATTGAATTCGCGATAACTCGAATCTGATAGGACTGACGAAAAATTTCGACATATCGGAAGTTCGACTTACCGTTGGTTTCGGTTTTGGACTTTCAAAATATTGCCGGATTATTTAATTAATGCCTATTAATTACAAATCTTCTAAATGCTTACAATATTTAAGATCATTTTTCTGTCAAGCCATTTACGATAAGACTGTTTGAAGCACTTTATGATACCCTGGTCCATCGGCTGCAACTTTGCTGTCGTGTTTGGCGGGAGAAACTGCAAGTTTACTGCTGTCAAATTTGGTAGATCACTATGCGCTGTGCATTTATCCATAAAGAGTATCACTTTTCTTTTTTTAGCGAAGAATTTCCGATCCAATTTTCTTACATAGTCTTCAAATAAAACTGATGTCATCCAAAACTTTTTGTTAGACTTGTAATCCAAAGGATACGTTTTTACATTCTTGAAACATCGGGGATTTCGGTATTTTCCGATAACAAGTAAGGGCAATTTCTCTGTCCCAGACGCATTTCCTCCAACTAGGACAGTCAAACGTTCCTTGCTCATTTTACCCCCTGAGCAGTTTTCATCCTTAAACATCATAGTCTTATTTGGAAGACATTTAAAAAATAAACCCATTTCATCAATATTGAAAACATCATTTTAACTGTATCCTTGAAGTAAATTTGGTAACGTTTCATTTAACCACTGTTCACATACTTCAAGAGGGACAGCTTTAGCTTCTCCATGAAGAGTGCGAAAGACATTGTGTGTGTGTTGCAAAGGAAGGGGCAAGATATCAGCTCCTAGGTTCTTCTTCTTGCTTTAAAAGAAAAAAAATCGAGTTAAAGGGAGTAAAATTCGAGTAATCGAGAATAATTAACATGAAATTGAAGATAAAAGGGTCGGGACCTCATAAAAAATCGAGTTATAGTAATATTCGAGTTAGCGTACTTCGAGTTATAGCGAATTGACTGTAGTATCATTAAAGAATTTTTTGTACTACTGCGTGTAATATGGTGCAGTGCATTGACACATCATTTGTCTTTTTATTACTCTTTGCTAAAAACTATTTTTCGTTCTAATAAAGATAGATATAAATTAATATTCCTTTTTATACCTCTGTATTTTTATCTGAGTTTTTTTCTTCTCGATTTTGATAGACATTTTCTTTCAGGAGCCCTATCATAAGAATTCATGCATTTTTGAGAAGCAGAAGAAGTAACTATTTTTTTTCTCGAATATTTTGTCTTTAAATCAACGGAATTTCCCAAAATGTCTGAATAACTAAATTTCCAATGTAAAAAAATAAAAATAAAAAGAACGAAGTTAGGTAGATATGTACAATTTGCTGCATTCAGTAAAATAAATAAATAAATAGAATCACAATTATTTTCCTTAAGTTTTAGTATTACTTACAAAATTCGACAGTAGATAGCAGCACTGACTGGGAAAACTGTCAAGCATTGTTTTCAAAATAACCACCATTTGTAGAAAAAACGAAATAGTACGACTCGCAGTAGAAAGCATTGTTTTATGAAGGGTTCATTCATGCTGATCTTATGAATTCTAAATAAGTAGCATCAAGTCTTTTCCCAATGTTCGGAAATCTATTTTTATTTAACTAGGCCTTCTTACACACTGGAGTTCCCGACAAACCTTTTCTTATCTCTTTCTCAATATATTGTTCATTCAAGGATGTTACTTTTCAACCTATTAGTTAAACCTCTTCTTACGCATTTGTCTCGTTACTTTTGTATAGTCATTAGTTGTTTAGACTTTCAGGAGGATTATTGAAAGTTTTATTCATTCCTATTGTTTTCTCACAAGGAAAAGTGTTTATTCAAAGCTCTTCCAACTGTTTTTTTTTTAAAAAAAATAAATAAAAAAAACACAGCTGGAACCATTCAAAGTTTACACGACACTACTTACCATAAACATGTTAACTATAAAATACCAGGCGTCCTTTAAATAAAGTGGTTACTAAACATTAAGATGTAAAATTTGTAACATTTACTTAAATATTTCTTTTATTAAACTATTGTTGATATAGATTGTAGATATTGATAATGTAGATTTATGACTATAATATTTCTCGACGCTATTTTTGAACTTTTTTTTAAAAATAGGTTTACTCTTTTCCATATTGTTTTGAAATCATTTAAAATCTTTCTTTATATTCTGTTTATGAAACTACTTGTTTGATAACTAATTGATCTTTCCTTATATTTTGTCTATGAAACTACTTGTTTGATAACTAATTGATCTTTCTTTATATTCTGTTTGCGAAACTACTTGTATGATGACTAATTGATCTTTCTTTATATTCTGTTTATGAAACTACTTGTTTGATAACTAATTGATCTTTCCTTATATTCTGTTTATGAAACTACTTGTTTGATAACTAATTGATCTTTCTTTATATTCTGTTTGCGAAACTACTTGTATGATAACTAATTGATCTTTCTTTTAATTTTCAGATGACAGACAAGATTATATTGATGGGTAAGTTTTTTTTTTCTTAACTAAACATTCAATTTTATATTTGCTTTAAGAATTTTTTTTTTTTTGAATATATGTAAGCATACCATTTCTGAGCCTAGATTTTATTTTTCTATAATACTTGAAAAGTATGGAAAAATGTAGACTAAATGTTGGAACTTTCAATCATGTCACGATTCATGTAAATACATATAACCTGGGAGTGGATATCGAAAATATTTGTATAAGAACTATTTTTTGTATGAAACAGACCTCACCTATTTTTTTAAAGTTTGAGTGGTAGTTAAAAGAAAAGGCTATCCACTTATTTCGGGAATAGTTACTCGCAATCATTAATTTGTTACTACTTTTTTTAATGCGTTATTTTTGTAGTTTGGTGTAATAATTCACTTTCTAAATAAACCTTTTAATTACATATTTTTTGCCTAATTTTTCTATTCTAATCATACATTCTTTTGTTTTAGGGGTATTCTTGCCCGCTTTAGAACTGCTGACAATTTAGTTACACAGGTATATTTTAATGTATATTTACTACATAGCAAATATGAATTTTATAAAGCTGTCTTATTTTAACTTAAATTTTGATATTACCTAGCAATCGTCACTGGTAATTCTTTTTATTGTTTATTACGACAATTTTAAACATTGAATATAATTCGTGCTTTTGTTCGATTTAAACAGCGTACCGGAAATTATCGAGTGGACAGACCACGACGAGCATCTAGACCAATTAAAGAAGAACCTACAGATGAAGAAGTTTCTAGAAAATTGTGTAAGTTTTAATTATATTTTGCAACTTAAAACTGATAAAATTCGTAATTCGTTAAGTCGAACTTATTCCCACCCGGAAATAGAAGGTGGTAGAAATAAATGCTTTGCTCAGATCTTCTCAGGAAACCACAATATTAATTCTATCCAACTTTCAATATTAGTCACAAAATTCGCCAACAGATGGCACTACGTGAAACACTATATAACTATATTTTAGTTAGCATATCAAACCATTCAAACTGGAATTTTTGTATGGTTGTCAGTTAATTATGTCCTCATACTGCACTACATCGTGAGTAAAAATGATTTTTGTATTATAATGTTTAGAAGTTTTCTGCGCTTAAATGCTATTTGAATGGGTCGTTTTCAAGACATTCTGCGTATTCCTAAATGACTCAAATGACTTATTTTGGTATTTATTTCAGCCAAAAAGAATAATTGCGCAGAATGCTGTGAGGATCATAGAGTACTGGAGCGAAGAACTAAGAGAGCTCTTCATGGACACGGAAATCACGATCCCTTATGGCTACAAAATGTAAGTTTATGGCTACATTTTTGCATTATTATTTCATTAACATTTTTACTTTACTTAATTCTACTTACTTTACTTAAGTACTGTAAGTGCTTTCAATAACACATTCAATTAAAAATTTATTACTACTGATTTAACAACCCACAACAATGATCTGACAACCTCTTCTCGCTCCCGTGAAAATGACGGGGTGAAGTTTCGCCCACTATTTCTCACTCCCGTGATATTTCCGGGCTGGAGTGTTTAGTAGTAACGCGCCAATAAGAATAAAACTATTTCATTTCTTTTGCCCGTAAAGCATTTTATTTCTCGTTTTACGCACCAGATGGCAGTACCAGGATATTTTTAAGGGTATTATCAGAAGAGATGAAAACAATAAGAGGTGCAGGAAGGAAACTCGGTACTACTGTCTAGATTGTGACGTTGGCCTCTGTATCTCATGCTTTGAAATTTATCACACAAGAAAAAATTGCTAATCTTTATTTATATTATGCATAAGTTTAAATTTTTTTTTTTTAATGTTTAAAACATTTTTAAATTTTCTTGCTTGCTTGAAAACCAACATTAAATCATAGTAACCCTGGATGTTGGCTTTTCCTAAAAATTTAATTTTTTTAAATGTGAAGCTAAAAACAAATCAAAAATTAAAAATGAATATATATATATTGTTTATACACATATTTTTATATAATTTTCAGGGATTAAAAAAAAAAGGCACTTTTATGATCGTTTTCTTGAAAATTAACCGATCATTAAGGGGTTAACAACGTATTGAAAGTGATATTAGTTTAAAGTGATTTAGTAGCACATCTCTTCTGCTTTAATAGGTCATACAACTTATTCTAACTAATTAGAATTTCAATTGCTAGATATTGAACAGTCATGGGCTTACAAGTATTTCTTAGTCAAGGCAATATATATTGTTCATAAATCGATTCGATTGAAGAGCATAGTGCATGAAGGTGACGAGTGTCTTTCAAATAAAGAGCGATATTTTATGTTTAAAAGCATTTTATTGCCAGTTGGCATTGGACTTAAATTTTTTTTCTAGTAAGGTCTGCATAAAAGAATAATAAGTTAAGTAAACAAGTTTTTGCTGTTGCCGTAAAAAATTCACTGAAATGTCACTTAAAGCATTTTTTTGATTTACTAATAGTAAGATCATTATAATTATAGGTTTCACTTTACTTTTTTTCTTCTTTTTTATACAAATTTGAGGACATAAACATCTATCTTATGAACTGCTGATAAATTACGAATAGTAGTCACGTATACTTGATTCGCCCTAAAACCTTCCAAATCTGATTTTTTAGCGTATTTCTTTTGATTAGCAGTTTTGAACCCTATATTCAGAGCTGCCACCTTTCTACAATATTCTACTCCTTTTTTGCCAATTTTTTAAAAATGTCCCATTCAAGCACTAAATCCAATTTTTTAAGAAGTTTAAAAAGGTAACCTATAAAATTACAACTCCTTTGACCAACATTAATCTTATTATTAATTTATTTTATTATTATGTTTTTTTTTATGAAATAAGTAAATTAACTAAAATGGGAATTTTGATTTCGCATTTAAAGAAACTGATGAAACAATTACAAATATGATTCTTGCAGACGATTTTCCTCTACAGCGAAGCAAAAGTAAAAATTCTTTACCGCGCATTTGATTTGTTAAGAACTTGTCAGCATAAGATACGCTATTTTAGTGGTCCAATCAAATCCTATACTCTTGCAACGTCATACAGTCGTTTAATCGAAATATGTCGCCAAGTTTAGGATATAATTGTTTGATTTATTTTATGATATTGAGTTATAATTGTTTGATTTATTTAATTCACCATTACTTTGTTCAAAATAAAACTATTTAGTTATACATTGAATTAACATTGATTAAATATATGATTAAACTAACAATAGTTAAAGTAAAAGCAAAGTAAGTCTGTCAGATTAGCAACGACCACATTTAAGTTACCGTTTTTTTATTTAATTACAACTTGGTTCGATTTTGAACGAATGCTTTTCTGAATCACCCGTCCCCAAGGGGTTAAAGCAGTGTTTCCCAAAGTGTGGTAACAAACGAAAATTTTTATTTAAAAACAAAGCTAGCTATGAAAATTTGCGATTACGTATTTTTCTATTGGCTATTTTTTGCAAAGTTAACAGTTAATAATTAGTGGTGTCACCAGCCAGTAGTGGTTTTCAACTTTTGTGCAATTTTGTTTATAGTAAAAAATACATTAAATTTCTTATTAGTGGTACACAGCGCAACGAAAAATTTAGAAAGGGTACACAAAAGTCATAAGTTTGGGAAACTCTGCCTTAGGGCAAAAGTTAGTCAATTGAAGAAATGAGAGGCCTGCTTGGTGGGCAGGTATTTTGTCCTACCTTATATCAAGTCAAATTCCGTCGTTACTGAAGGAAGTTTAAAGCCAAACTAAAAATCATCAATTCTCCATACTCTTTCTATATCATTTGTAAGAATTTCATTTTTATAAATAAAACGTAACATTTTTAAACTAATATTTTAATACTTTTTTAGGTAAACCAATGCCCATATTGTAAAGATATGTGGGATGAAAATCATCAGTTGAAATTTGTTGACGTTGAACCTGAATGGTGGTTTCTATAGATTACGACGAAATGTTGTTGAATATTTTATAACCGGCTTGGAAAACCGGTTTCTACAATTAAGAAAAATCATTTTTTTACTGGAAGCATCATATATTGTTAAATAAATAGCACGTCATTTATTTTCCTAAATTTGTTTTTATTTACCTGTATGATAAAAGGACCATTGACAACGCATCCAATAAACTTGTACAAGACCGTAGACTGCCTTCCGAGCAATATGAATGATTCATTATTCATATTAATTATAATTTCATATTAATTCACTATTCGTGAAAAATTGAAAAAACCCTATTTTTCAAATCATATTTCATTTATGAACTTGTGAATCCGAAGCGGGTGTATGATGCAGCTTACAATCTCATACCCGCCAACTTTTACGCATTTGGCATAAAATTTTATTTTTATATTTAAAGTGGTAGTAAATATATACTATTATTTCCCTTATAAACTTAATTTTTAAATGATTTTAACCACCACTATTCTTAAAAAAATTAAGCATATATATTCATATATGTTACTATCACATACCCTCCAACTTATGAGGATTTTGAAAATAATTCTTTCTAGTTTTAGCGAACCAAAGTAGAAATTTTTAAAGCAAATGGATCTTTCATAAAACTTTTATCAGAACTTAAGAATCTAGCCATATGGCCTGCACTTTTATAAGTAATAGTGGATAAGTTACGCTAAAAGTATTTTTTTTTAAATATTAAGACATTAATTTTGCTACCGTCTGAAAAGAAGATTTCTGAAACTACGGAAATTCCGTAGCAGTTGGAGGGTATGTATCATTGTTGTCAGCTCAAGATTATTCAAATACAGTAGAAGTCCGATAATCCGGCACGTTCGGGATCGACTCGGTGCCGGACTACTGAGAATTCCGGTCTATCGGGCGGTAATTATAAGAACAATTAGGTTAATAATTAAACTACAAATACAATATTTCAAATACATACAACAAAGTTTATTTTACATTTCATATAATGTATGTACACGTACTGTTAAACATATTTCACTTAGATTTAAAAAAGTCACAAATGTCTTTTTGTTTTCTTGACTTTTGGCGTTTAGTATAAAATTTATTTTTAATGATATGGAAATCAATAATTTCTGAAGCNCCAGCTGACGGCGTCCTGTCCTAAGAAACCAGGCCTTTAGATTTAAAAAAGTCACGAATGTTTTTTTGTTTTCTTGACTTTTAGCGTTTAGTATAAAATTTATTTCTAATGATATGGAAATCAATAATTTCTGAAGCACTGTAGCTGGTACTAGCCTCAGTAAAAGAGATAAACTTATTTAGTGATTCTGCAGCTTCGGCCCAGCTGATTTTTTCCTTTTCTTCCGCTTCGGCATCTGAGTCACTTTCTTTAAGATTTTGAGTAGGCTGAGGGTTTACTACAATGTTGATAATGTTAAAGACACACTTTTGGAGGAAACCAAAATTTTTACAATTTTCCGGAGCCATGCCGGACTATCGGGAATTCCGGACTGTTGGATGCCGGACTAATGGACTTCTACTGTACAACGTATTTTTTGCTTAAATTAGAAATCTTAATTCCATTTTAATACCACTGGGAAAAATCATAATGGAAGTGATTAAAAGTTGGCAGGTATGCAATCTCCATCAAGCAACATTGTACAAATCCGAAAATATTAATATTGATCTCGATCGGCTGTTCAATGTCTATTCAGTCATCAAAAGAATTTACACAGAATGTGTAATGAATGTTTGCACAGAATGCTGCATTTAAATATGTCTGCGAAATTTTGAACCGAGCAGTTCACGATTAACAGTTAAAGATGTCCAAGATGAAAACACAATAAAGTTTCTACTCCAAAAACAACAAAAAATTAGACAACAACCATTTTGTCAATGGGTAACCTGTGATCGCCGCAAGACGATCACTATTTTCTTCAATTTGCATTGAATCATATTTATTTTGAACTAAATTAATACAAAATAATGAAAAATGTGTTTAATAAAAATTCTGTGTCAAAGCATGAAGGTATTTATTACATGATTTTTATATAATCATGGAGCGAATACTTTAGTTGACAACAACTAATCAGAAAATAAAATATAATATAATTATTATTATTTGGAATTTTATTTCAACACTTTTATTTTTAAAGAAAAATTATAATAATTTTAGTAAAAAGGGTCCTCAATTATAGATACCACAACACTATTTAATAGAAATTACCAAGCTCTGCTCTCCCACGGTTTTGGGAAGTGTGAGTGAGTCTTATAGAGAAGAATTTATAAATATTGCATTTTAAACATAGAAAACTGACTGTGATGTATGTCACCTCGTGCCATGACAAGAAGATTAGAAAGTAGGCGTTACTTACTATCGCATAGAGAGAAGTTGATTTTTAAGCTCTGAAAGCCTTAGAAATTAATGTAAATAAGGATTTTGATGTAAATATAATTAAACGGGTGAACAACATTTAACAATAAATATATCATTATGAAAAGGTAAAAGACCTCTTAGAAGAGAGAAGGCCTCATCACGAGTGACCATGAACAAGAAATTTGATCATTTAGTATACCGAACCAGTGACGAATCCAGCAGGGGGGGGCATGCCCCCCCCCAAATTGAAAAATAAAATAAAATAAAATTTTTTTTTAATAGTTTACAAAAGAAATGAAATATTAAAAAAATTATTTAAAGGGGCATGTACACCTAGGTAGGTCAGAAAAATCGATTTTTTTTTTATTCGAAGTCTCAAAACTTGGCCGAGAGCAACTCAAAATCAAGAACGATTAAATGGACTCGCATAATTAAACATTCATCGAGAAATTGATTTGGATGTTGAAAAAATCATTGACAGATTTGCCAAAGTTTCCAAAAAACGCATTACAATTATTATTTAAAGATTTTAATACTTGAATTATTTATGTATTGTTCATTACGAAAAAAATAAATGAGAAGACTAGCATTAGAAACCCCAGTTCTTTTTTTTTATCAAAAAAAATATTTGAAAAATTATTTTTTATAAAAAAAATTAATTGTGGGGGGGGGGTCTGAGTCGTAGACCCCCCCCCCAGGAAAAATTTCTCATTACCCATCTGTACCAAGCGTTAGGACATCTTTCATACAATCCGTCACTGCGCATCTTAGTAGCTCGAGCGTAGTGGCATCTTTCGGATTTTATCTCCACTACGCAGTTTCTGTTCGTTACCCGGGACCATATATGGCAGTACTTTTACTTTCGTTACTTGTACCGCCGTTACAAGTAAAAAGTACGTACTTTTACTTGCACTTCGTTGCTTTTTAAATTTAGTACTTTTACTTGTACTTTCGTTACTTTTTTAGGGAAAAAGTACAAGTATTTGTAACGGAAATATCGAATGAAATCGTTACTTTTTTCTAAAACTCGGTAAGCTTTCTAAAAAAAAAAAATTTATTAAATTTAAAAATAAATGCTTATGTTTTTTTAATTTATAAAATTAATGTGCAATATATATGCATTCACAGCTAACTTCGTGTTTAAATACCTTCTGTTTCAACTTATACTGCACATTCAATTATTTTTTACTAGCTCAAAGATCACAAAGCTATCTGAAACCCCGTGTTTGCTTTGCTTATGTTTGTGCTTTTAAAATGCGTTTCTATAGAGTAAAATAATTTTAAATCAATGGTAATTTAAATAAATAAAAATAATAAATTAAAATTAAAATCAATAGATAAAATTCTTTTTCTTGCAAATCCATAAAATGTTTGATATTAAAATTATATTTGATTTTAAAATTATATTATACGATTATATTATAAAATTATATTGCAAAATTAAATTATAATATTCTTCGAAATTTAAAAATAAATTAATGTCCATAACTTTCAAAATTAAAAATAATTAAATAAATAGCAACATTCAATAAAAGTTTAGTTTACTTTGAATTTTCGATTTCCTAGAAATGTACTTTTAAATCGTTACTTTTTTTGTTTAGTACTTGTACTTTTACTTGTACTTTTTACACGTTACTTTTTAAAAGTAACGTTGCCATGTATGCCCGGGACTACTAAATTGATCCGTGCTAAGGCTTTTTCTCTTCTAGGAGGTGTTACCTAAAGTCAGCGAGAAATCTTTAGCTTATGAATGTGAAGAAACTGTATCTTAAAAATTAGTTAAGCTCAAAAATCTTGAAAACCGTCGAATTTGGAATTTAAAGGTCATGAAAACTGTCATTACCGGAATACAACCTTAACCTGCGCATTTTAATTAATTAAAAAAGGAACATCATTCGAATGAAGTGTTCCAATGAATTTATGTGTTGATTATTGAATATTACATTAAAAAAAAATTTTTTTTAACTTCCAGATAACAATTTTTTTTTTTTTTTTTTTTTTTTTTTTTTAAATTTGTTTGTTTGGGAAGAGAAAACAAATATCGAATGTTGGTTACAGTCGCCGAGAGAGTTTTCATGGAAAAACTGTGACAAAATATGATAATTTTTCATTTCCAAACATGCGACTGACGTTCAATTTTTCGCTCCAGTCGCAAACAATTAAAAAAACACGTGTTTCTGATCTCTGAACATGAACTTTAAATTAAAAATGTGCAGCAATGCGTTAACCATTACCGGTTGATCATTTTTTGGATGAAATGTTGCGCCAGTCTGGCAACACTTAATCCAAAAATATTACGAACCACTAAAAATGTAAAACGTTTGACTTCGAAACTTTCACCAATTTTTAGCGCTACCACTATGCTTTAAGCAACAAAGTGATAAAGTATGCCTCTTCAATAAAAATACACGATTTGTTTTCGAGATCAGTATGATTTTAAACAATGTGAAGTTTCTTCAAGCTAACTTTATTACAGTCGCTTATTGCCTCAGCTTTGGTATGATTTTTTTTAGAACTTTATTGTGTTCAATTTTTAAGTGTTACTCAGCATCTAAACAACTAAAACGACGTCTAGAGTATGCCTCGCAAATCCACGTGCGTTTTAGTGACGTTTTTCACCTTCAAGCTTTCTAAACAGTTTTCAGAGGACTTCTTCAGAGTAAGTTATAGGCTAGATATCTTATAGCAATGTTGTGAATGGAACAATGTATCACTCTCAATGTTTCTAGATAGTGTGCTGATAACTGATCCCGGATTCCTTGTTAGGGGGCTCTTTAATGTTAAAAAAAAATGTGTAATGTTAAAAAAAATTCACTTTTGAATAATTTTTATTTATTTATTTTTTTAATTTTAAGAATGTAAAACAATTATACATTATTATAAAAGCTTTAATATATCATTTGCAGGGGCACCGTTAACTTATATTTTTGGGAGGGAGAAATTTTATTCCGTTTCCTATTTTGATCGAATCATAAATTAGCACAAACAATTATTCTTATATATTATATGTAAACATCAAAAGTGTCTCTAAAAATTCTTGTTGGTGATGAAGCTATAAGTTATAAATAATATAGTTGTCAACTTATCCTGTTTTCCTTGGAAATTTTTCTTTTATATTTTAAGTGTTAGCAAAATTTATACTTTGATATTTTATTCAGTGTTTAATAATTTTGATTTAAAATGTTCTTGCTCGCCATTATTGTCGATCAACTTAACCATCTATATCAATCAATAACAATCAATGTGGATCTAAAGAAATTTAAGATAGCAGTTTAGATATTAAATATGTTTGGTGTAGTATAAAATTTACAAAACAGTATATTAATCTAGAGATCTTCAATCTTTTGCAATCCGAGAACCGCAGCATTAAATCAGTAAATAGTGAGGGCCGCACAGTTATTAGATAAAGGTAAAAAAATTCAATAGCAGGAGGAGATTATGTACTAGTTCATTTTAGTATTATAAGGTATTGAATATTTTCTGTTTTCGAATTTTGCTCTCGGAATGAATTAAACTAACAGCTGTGTTAACTAAAGCGTGTTCACAGTTTAAAAAATACTATGTTCACAAATTATCTTTATGGATGGTACAAAAAGCTATTATTGTAAGCTAATTTATATCTCTCTATTTCGGATGAAGCTGGCTTACATGTAGAACTGGAGAAATAAAAGAGTTAAGTGTCTGTAAAAATTGTAAAAAGTCCTTTAAGACGCATCCTGCTGCCTATGCATGAATTAAGTTTAAGTTATGTTCTAGGCATGGTAAAAAATTGCAGCGGGACATTTCTCTTTTAACCTTGCTTGTAAACATGAGTACTTGCCTGCCATATTTGGTGCGTTATCTTATGTTTGTTATGTTCTATCTATCAATCATTAAGCAATCACTCCGCATGAAGAACGGGTATTAAGAAAGTGTAAAACAAATGCTGATATTTTTAATGTAACATAAAATGCTTCTCGATTTTTTTTAAAGATTTTAATAGAAAGTAAGAGCAAAATATAAAGGAGACCCAAAAATTATGAATAATAATGAAACGTGCTTTAGGCATATTTTATTCCAAGTTGGGCAATTATCATTGCCGAAGGTAAAAAGAAATTTAAAATTTTCACTGTAATATAAAATGCATCTTAATTTAAATTTTTAATGGAAAATAAGAACTAGATAACTAAATTGCCCCAAAACTGTGACTTAAAGCTTGCTTTATTTTGTTTATTTTATTGTAAGTTAGATAAGTAAAAGCTATTGTAGAGGTATACAAAGTGAAATAAATCCTGAAACGTTAACTATCATACAAAATAAAGCCATATTTATGTCTAATCTATTTTAAAGATGACGATTTTCATTCAGAATTATATAATGATGAATTCTACTGTATAACGATGATTTTCATTAAAACAAAGTAACTCTTAGGGCTCCTGTGACTTACAATAAAATGTGCTTCATCAGGCTTATTTTATTGCAAGTTGGATTAGTACGCTATTGTAGAGGTATGCTGTATGAAATTAAATTTCAAACCTTTAACTATCATGTAAAATGAACACAGATCTATGTTTAATCTATTTCAACGATGACGATTTTCATAAAAAATTATAAAGACGAATTATGTTGCATAACTATGATTCTTCACACAAACAGAAAAAATTTACAATAAAACCCTGTGACTTAGACTAAAATGTGTTACATTAGCCTTATTTTTTTGAAAGTTGAGTAAACTATTGTAATGTAAAATTAATCCTAAAACAATATAATATTAAATGAGCACATATTTATTTCTAATATGAAAATTTTTTCAAACAAAGTTAAAAACATAAAAGAATAAACATGCTCGGAAATTTAAATATGACTAATTACTCTTTCCAATTACCAGACGATAGGAGCTTTAATCAGTTGGATGAAAAATGTGCTTTGATTAATTTGAAATGAAATAAAATAACAATGTCGTTTAATGTTATTCAATATTTATTTACAAAAATTCATTTACAAAATTACACGTGGTGTTCTTTTCTTTGTGCAGAGAAATCAAAACAATTTTTTTCGTTTTGTTTTGAAATATTGAACAAAATACATCTCACGATTATGTTCGCAATAGAATAGTACTAAAAATAAATAACTCTTTCTCTTTCTTCGTAAATATAACATGAATGCAGAGTAAATGAATAATGATTAACAGTAAGTTAATTTTAAGTAATCTTTAATCACTTTTGAGTATATGCATAACATTTTAACTGCCTTTCTGCAGACTGGACATGTAGAATGCTGAAAAGAAAATAATAAATGATTAGTCAAATAAATATTATGTATGTTAGCAAAAACAGCACTTCATCAGGGGACACACTGTCTGCTAACACTGCGTGTCCAATGATCAAGTACTGTTTTTCCTAACATACATATCTTTAAATGTTCGTTTTGCTTGTTTTTGGTATCTAATTTTTTACTTAATTTGTTTGCATAGGTCAAAATGGAAAAAAGTTAAAAGCAACTAAAACCATATTTGTCTTATGTAAACAAATTAATAAAAAATTAGATACCAAAAACAAGCAAAACGAAAATTTAGAGATGTGTATGTTAGGAAAAACAGCACTTCATCAGGGGACACACTGTCTGCTAACATTGTGTATCCCCTGATGAAGTGCTGTTTTTGCTAACATACATATCTTTAAATTTGCTTGTTTTTGGTATCTAACGTTTTATTTAATTTATTTACATAAGACAAATTTGGTTTCAGCTGCTTTTAGAGCTTTTCCATTTTGGCTAATTATTTCAAACTTTTAACCTTAAAATTTGTTTAAATCAATTTCATACTTTGATTGGATAAAAAACTTTGACTTAGACGATCCTGATTTCTTCAACTCATATGGACTTGACTTTCGAAAAGAGCTGAGAAGTTTCTTCAAGAATCAAATCTCTAATGGTTTGGGGAGCATTTGGATTTAATGGTCAGAAATCTGTGCATTTAATTACTGGAAGACAAACATCTGAAACTTAGTAAGATACACGGAGGGAAAATAATCCTGTCAGGAATAGAATGTATATTTCATCAGGATAATGCTTCGATACATACTTCACGTTCGATAAAAGTTAATATTCTCAACAAAAAGTTCACTTATTGGCCTGCGCTGATCCCAGACCTAAATTTAATAGCGAACGCTTTGGGCGTTTTAACGCGCCAAGTATATAGAAATGGTTTTCATTTAACATTGTTGGAGAGCTCCTGGAGTCTATTGAGATAGCATAAATCCTAAGAAACACATCAGAACCTAATTAATTGGGAATAAAAACGTCTTTTTATATAAATGGCGGATTAATTTCCAAGTCAGATTATTTTAAGTGGGCTGAATGATGCTATTTTTGCTTTATGCTAAACTTTTGAAACAGCCTTTTATTTTTTTAATTTTATTTATGAGACTCATGATAAAAAAATAAATATTTCACAGTAAATTATTTATTTCCTGTTTTTAATTACATCACATAAAAGTGTCTTCTATAAACATTCGATGGTTGCTTTTAAAAATGTTTTGCTTGAATTTAGGCTTTTGAGATGAAGGGTATTTTTGTCTTTTGTTTTTAGGGCTAGAAAAGATCTTATTACGTGTGGTATTTTGAATCCCCCCTCTTCGCAAATGTGGAAATAATTATGACAAAGTTATCTTAGTATAAAATATATAATAAAAAGTATATGTTTATAGCATTCCATAAATACCTACCTGATTCAACCACGTTTTAATGCACCAATAATGAAATGCATGTCCACATTCAATTTGGGAAAAGGTTTCTCTAGTTGCAATGTCAAGAAAACAAACCGAACAGTGCAAATTTGTGGCTGAAAAATAAGTAAATTAATTAATTAGTTAATAAATATTAAATTATAATTATATAAACAAATATATAAAATATTATAAAATAAGAGAAATATATATTAATCAATATATTTTTCAACGAATAGCCAAACAGTCAACAATTCCCAACGAGAATGTACAAAAAGACGGTAATTGTATAAAGATTCGTTGACTAAGCGAAACTTATGACTGAACTTTATTATTTATTTTTTTCACTTAACAATTATCATATGAAGAAATGAAACTAAAAGTTTAAACAATGAAGCGAATAAAACTAAAAGTATAAACAATAATAAAACTATATAAACAATAAATAAAACCTAAAGGCTCCAAACTTCCTATTTTCACACTGCAAGCGATTGGCGCTGGCAAACGTTTCCCCAATTTTTCTTCCTGATCTAATTGAAAAAATTGGCGCTGCAAACGCAGAGCATCATCTAACGCTTGCATGCTTTTTACGAGCATTCAAATTAATTTATCTTTTCATTTTTTCATTTAAATCATGATGATATATGAAGAGCTTAGTGGATAAACCAGATAAGTTATATGTTCAGAGTGGCTATAATCAGGGAAGAAAAAAGTTGTATCTGAACTATTTTATTATAAATTTATTAGATGTTGGGACTAATAATTTTATTTACCACTACTTTATTTGAAATTAAAATCATGAGAGCATACTCGAAACTAATGTAGATTAGTTAGGCTAAAACTAAAGTGAAAGCGAAAGAAATTCTGTTACATTTACCATACCCAAATTGATGAGACCACCCTAGCTTATATTCTCTAAATAAAATAAATACCTCTTATCTAATTCTTCTACTAAGTTCCTTATATGATATGTAAAGTCCAAAAAGAAAAAAAAATGTTACATTTAAATTTGAAAATTTGTCATAAGGTATTAATGGATATTTTTACTTAAAATAATAATTGTCATTTATCACCGTTAAAAATTTTATATTGATAATAATTTTTAGCTTAAAATAGATTAAGCAGAGAATATATAGATAGTTTTCATGCAATAAATGCTGAATTCATAACATTGATCATAAATCAAGATTCCTTAACCATATAACCGTAATTTAATCATTCATAAAATTCACTTCTTTTCTTTTTAAATTTCATTTCAGAAATCCAAAATTTACGTTTATCGCTTACTCTTTTCCTCAATAGCAAATTTTAACTGATAATTTAAATTATATTTCCTTAATTAATTTAAATTAAATATTAAAATTTCCGAGAGGTTACGAAGATAATAATTACGTTTGTGTTGATGTTTCTTCCAGTTCAGTTGTTGAATTTCTTCTAATAAATTACCGCTTTCTTTCAATTCTGATTCAAACTGAAATAGAAGAAAAATAAATTTTTTTAACGATGAATGAAAAATTTAATTATAATAAATGCGGAAAGATGCAGTTTGAAAGTTGTTAACTGTTTGGAATCAGTAAACAATATTACTGTAAACAATAACAGTTTTTGAGAAATAACATGTTGATAAAAGAGTTTCTTATGACAAAATTGAATTAAAAATTTAAATAATAACTCGTATACGATAAACCATGGGTCGTTGTATTGTTGATGCTCAAGATAATGGCCTCTGTAGTCCAAAGAAATACGGTCGTAAAAACTTAAGGTCGCTTTAACGAGAGTACTCAATATAGCAAATATTTACTCATAGAGCTGTGGTGGCTCGTGGGATAGAGCCAGCTCGCACCAACCACAGTGCTGGCATAAAATATCCTCAGTGGTAAGCGGAGTCTTCTTGCCGACAGGCTAACCGTTTTTGGTTTTCTTCTCCATATAACTCAAATGCGAGTTAGTTCAATCAAACAGTCCTCTACGAAGGCAAATTTCTTTAAATACTTGATCCAGAAGTTCCCTTGTCTCCTGGCAAATTACGAAATTGCAAGGCTACGCAATTGAACATTGGTAGTCGTAAACTCGAAATGGGGTCGGCTGTTTAACGACGTTTATAAAATAAAATATTTAATCATATATACTAGACATATTTTAACAAAATCCAATACCTATCTAAACAATCCTCTTACTTCAAAATTTTTAAAGTCTGTTCTAAGTACAGCCGTTATGCTGCTTGCGAGCACTCGATTTTGCTAAATAACATATGCTTAGAGAACTGTGAAGTTTATCCAAAAATACAAGTAAGAAAAAGCGAATAGTGCACAATCTCCAAAATAAACTGCCTGTTATAACGGTTCACGAAAAGAGTGAGGATTGTTTTCGGACTAGAAAAATAGGAATCATAACATTTAAAAAGAAATTTGCAAAGGTTATGGATGCATACAAGAGACTCCAATTCCCTGTCTAGGATTCAACACTTCTTATTCTCAATAATGAAAGAAAACGATATTTCACTATCATTTTGACCATAGATAATGCCAAGGACCATCTCGGATAAGAGTTGGTGGTCCTATCATTCTTTTTGTCATTCATCAAAATATCAAGATGTCTGGCCTGTATTGAGCGGTAACATGAAAAGAAATAGTTGTTTGAATAATTTCCTGGGGACTTTTGCTATTCATTGTCAATGAAAAAAATTTTCAATTAGATAGTTAAAAACTTTTTAGCATGATATTTGAAGTGATATTCTAGAACTGAAAAAANAACAAGTCTCCATCTCAAAAAAAAAAAAAAAAAAAAAAAAGAAACAAATTTCGGTCGTTATGAACGGATAATAAAGTACGGATTAGTTCGGTCATTCTACTGGATGTTAAAATGGCAGTGCATTTAACAAGCAAACGGGACTTCGTGTATCAGTCGTTCTAATGGAAGAGTCGCGGTTTGTACTAAAGAGCGTAGTTTGTATTAAGAGTACACAGAAATAAAATCACCATAAATATTTACTCGTAATTGAAAAATTATTCGACTAATTTGAAGAAAATAATATTATTCTTTAATAACAAACAGAATAATTGATCATAATATAACTTTTTATATTAATTACAAGTACCATATAAAGTAATACATTAAAGATTATAAATTCGTTTTAAATAATTATTTGGTCACTGTCAGCGATTTTAGCTAAATATTATATATCTAGATGCATATAAGTCGTAGCTAGATATGTGTGAAGGCCACATGTTTTAACTTGGAAATTAACCACATAAAGGGACTAACATTTCACAAAAAAGGAAGAAAAAAAAATTATAGAAAGGTAAATGATTGATTAATTTATTGTACTTTTTGAACAGAATTTTTACAATGATTGTGAATGCATTTTTTAAACCTAATAAATGCAATTGGAACTTTATAACGATTTTCGCATGTTGGTGCAATGTACGATATCATAATTGATTAAAAAAAAGTTTTTATGTTATAATATATCTTTTATTCTTTAACCATGAACTAGGAAAATAATCCATGAAGTTATGTTAATATTTAATCATTCAAAGGGAATAGTCATAGTCATGTGATTGCTTAAGTCCTTTAGAAAACTGGTAGATTCTTTCACCTTTCCATAATAATTTTATACATCATGAATTATGAGAAGAGTTTAGAGGAAGAAGTAGATAAGTGACATTTTCGGAAGCATTTATTAATCAGGGGAAATAACATAAAGTGTTTACATAAATATGGGTATGTTTAATATAACAATATTATTTTTGCTTTCTTTTTAATTTTAACGTATCTAGTTTACAATAGTTTCAAGCATGCATGCGTAATTTTTATTTCAAATTAGGTAGTGGTAAATAAAATACGGCAGAGAATTACTTGATCCTCCTTATTAAATCTAAAAATGAAATTCCTTCTTTTTTCTTCTTATTCGGATTACAGCCACTATAGAAATATCACTCACTTGGTTTATTCACTAAGCTCTTTATTTATAATCATGATTTAAAAATTAAAAAAAAATTAAAATGAAAATAAAAAAAATATTAAAAAGTTTAATGAATTTGAATATTTATGAAATAGATGCAAAAATTAATTATTAATTTGCGGTTGCAGCGCCATTAATTTTATCAGGAAGTAGGATTGGGAAAACGATTGCAACGCCAAGCGCTCGCAGTATTGAAATTGGAAGTTTGGCACTATAATGGGCTAATTAGTTTTATTAATTGAAATAGTAAAATTTGGAATTTAGAAAATATTAGAATTTATTATTCAGCATAGAATTTATTTATCACTCGTGAAGAAATGAGCAAGGGGTCGGAATTTCGAGTCATTTTTAAGTTTCCCTGCATTAAAGATTTTATTGTAATTACCAGCGGTACAATTTTTTTATTTATTTTCTTTTTTTTTTTGTAAAATTGTGAGATTTTTTTTAATACTATCCCATTGTCAATAGGAGCATTTTATTATGAAAGAGTAAAAATGTTGAATACTTATTTAAGTAGAGATTTTCAATAAAGTAAATTAAAGAATGAAACTAAATTTTGGCCTTATATTGGATTAAACAGTGGCGATGGGTGTTAAAATAAATAGCATCTATGGAATGAATAGGAAATGGGACTTAATGTATGTGTCATTTTAATGAATGAATCTCGGTAATAGGGTCGTAATAAAAAGCATAGACTGTAGTAATAAATAGAGGTAAAGAGATGACAGAAAATAGAGTAACAAGGATCTTTAACACCTTCTTTTAACATAAATAAAATTAAGAATATTGGAATTGTCCGGGAAAAAAAATCGAAAATGAGTAATATGAAATAAAGGAATTATTGCTTATACCACTGTATTTTTTAAAAAAATGAATGATAAAAAAGTAAAAAAAGAAAAAAATTTAAAAAATTAATTTTTATTAATAAAGTGAATTTACCTGTGCTGCGCTATTATTATTTCTTTTCACTGCGTCACCTTTATCAAGTTTTGCATTGTCATTTTTATTCCCTTTTTTCATCAAATCTGAAAGTACAAATAAATTTTAGATAAACTTGAGACATTAAAATAATAAAAATGCATCGAAAAATTAAACTAAGAAATATTATTAGAATATTAATATTAAGACCAGCCGTTTCCAATATATTTTTTCAGCTTCGAGGAAAAGCTAATGGGAAAATTTATAAAATATATACCAATTAAATCTCGAAATTATGAGGAATTCAAAATAGCCAAGGTACTAAAACGAAGTAATACAGAAGGATAGATTACAAGAAGATATAATTAAAATATAAACTTACTAGTGACTTTGCGAAATTGTAACTGTTTACCGAAGAATTCCATTATGATTATTCTGGTCAAGGGACAGTATCGTCACTCTAAGAAAGCTTCAAACTGAAGCAAAGTCAACTTTCCTTAAGAACTGAAACTTGCCTGACCAATGGGGTTAAAGTTATTAAAACAAAATATATCGATAAACCCAACTTAAACCATATGGAAAGCTGTCATTTTTTTTCCAGATGTCCTCTTTGTCAAAATGAACATTTCTAATACTTTCTGGACATGTCCAAATCCTTGATCCGGGTCCATTTCCCTGTACTTCTCGGTAACTGCAGCGTTTTACAATAGATAAAAGAAAATGGTGCATCAGATAATATCATACATCTGGTATCAATGAAGAACGGCTTCTTTCTTTCAAATCTATCGCCATGATGGAATATGTAAATAGAAAGCTTCTATGAGCCCGTTATTGATCAATTTTCCGTTACTTCAATTATTTCTTGGCAACTGCGGCACTTTACAATATATGAAAGAAAACAGGATCTAACTATATACGAAAATATAAGAAAATCTAAATAAAAGAAAATCTAAGTGTCGGAGCTTTCGATAGTTGGTATATTTTTATTGGCCGGAAAATCATGTGGTAGGATCCAGTTTTTCCTTAATAATTTCCATATTATTTTGGCTGTCATCAGCATAAAACTAATAAAAGTCATAAAAGTATCGTTTTCCGGTAAAATATTTTTATATCCCGAATTTAAAGGTATTTATTTACCTGTGAGGCTCCGCCCCCTGCTTGCTAACGCTCGCCAACCCCCGAGAATTGTTACGCAATCCTATGTGGTTCACGCCGTGAACCATGGCTCGCTGCTCTCGCTCGCCAATGAGCACAATGTTCTAGCACAAAGACATAATATATTATCATCAAAGACATAGTATTTTATCATCAAAGACATAGTATTGTACTTATGTAGATGAATTCTACCAATGTTCTTATTGGCTTTTAAAAAAGTATATTAGCTATTTAGATTGTACATGGTGAAAAAATCAAAACATTAGCTAAATAAGAAACATATTAGCAAAATAAATTATCAAATATTGCTTCACTAATATTCTGCATTTTAAAGCGTGAAAATTCAATGCATAAATAAACGCGAAATATAAAAAAATTCAATGCATTCAATACAAACACTTAAACGTTTTTTAGACGTTTAGGTAGCTCCCAGTAGAAAAATATCAATTCAACAGCGGCCTTTTAAAGCATTCTCACTTCAATTAATTAATTAATTCCTAATTGAGTTTAAATTAAATATTGTCATGTTTTTAGTGCATGAATCTGAATTGAACAACCTGATAATGCTCACTCTGGTTATTGTTATCTGGTTGCTCACTACGTGCTCTTGCGCGCCGAATCCAATCAATTAAAAATGAAAACTGTTGCCAGCGCGAGAAAAGAAATATCATCGGTTTTATTGATACATACATACATACATACGTACGTATTAGCGTTTTATATAATATAAATAGATAGATGCTTTTTTTTTTTACTTTGCTATTATTACGTTTATGATTTTGATCGTTTTCCAAAGAGTCTAAAATCATGAAACCAATTGCAGATTTGAAAACAGCGATACGAAACAAAAAATTTCCCCCTATGATTTATCGTTTGATTTTATAAAATGCATTAAAGGCATATGTAGTACATAATTACTGTAGTTTCCATTGCACATAAGTTTGCTTTATTTCATATTATTTATATTAATTAAATATTAAATCCTGGTTTTCTGAACAATTTGATTTCAAAATGCTGAATTTTATTGCATTAAAAAAGAAAGTATATCTAGTGGAAATACTTGCAACCTAGTGAAAATTTATGATGTGTAGGATGATAATATTTTAAGTGTATTTGAGAGTAATCATCATTTTTTAAATCACCAAAAACAGATATAAAATTATTCTCCAAGTGCAGGTTTGTTTTGCATAATTAAATTTATTAACTATTTTAAATTTTGTTTAAGGCATATAAATTAATGAGAATTAAATGTATTTCTTTTAATGCAATCAAAAACTTTACTAAGAGTTTTTTCCTAAAATCCAATAAACTGTGATATTTCGTTTTAAACTGTTACTAACTACGATCAGCAATTATCTGATACTTTTGAACCAACTACTTTCAAGTGAAGAGGGACAACAACTGATCAACAATATCTGGAACTGAAGGAAAATATAAGTTAATTAAAATATTTGTTTCAGGATAAAAACTTACAATTGGAAAAACTGCGTAATAAGTTTTCATAGTAATCAAAAAAATAAATAAGAGCGACGAAAAACACTATTATGTAGATGAAGTTAAGTGAATAAATAAGTGTTATTGTTAGTTTTAATTTTGATTCTTAAAGAAGTGGGTAAATTTGTGTTAAATGAATCATTTTGGGATCTTTTAATGGAATAATTTTTGATATTTATTTATAAATCTGTTTATCGCCACGATGCTAAAAATAAATGAAATTATTGGGGTTGGCGAGTAAGGATGAAATTTCTAAGCTTAAAATAATAATTAATTTCCTATTAATTGCTTTTGATCTGCTGCCTCAGTACTAGTAATAATTTTACTTTCTTATTTATTATTTCATTGATAGCTAGATCCCTTTTCGTTCCTTCCATTTTCTTCTTTTTCTTTCTTTTCTTTCACCTTATTTTTTCTTCTCTCGTACTATCACTTATTATCCTGTCATTTTATTAAACACATTTCTTTCAAATCTTATGATATTAGATACTCNAAAAAAAAAAAAAAAAAAAAAAAAAAAAAAAAAAAAAAAAAAAAAAAAAAAAAAAACGGATTACCCTAAATAACTTTTGATCTAAAGATCGGATCGTCACATTCTGGGACTCAATCTCAATGATCACAAGGGGATGATCGCAAATATGCTAATTAATTAGAGCAGACGAGATTTTAAGTTACGAAATCAGACACAAAAACGTACTTTCTCTGAGTAAAGCATACCTTTTTTTTTCTCCAACGGATTCGGATTTCTGTCCCCCAAATTATTGCGTGTAGCCGCAATCTGGGAAATGTGGTCCCCATAGTTTCGTCAGGAGAGCGATCCTAAGTTCGGATCGCTCTCCTTAATGTAATGATCCTAATGTAATGTTAACTTTATTTTTTGCGCATTTCGCCAAATATCGAGAACTTTTAAAACGAATTGAAAAATGTTTGTACACAAGTCTAAGACTCGTTCATGCAAAAAATAAATTTTAGTTAAGATTCATTTTTTTTATTATTTTATTTAATGATAGTCGAAAACTTTTTAAATTGTTGTCATTACAAGTCTAAGACTCGTTTATTCAAAGAGAATTCCATACAAAAAATAAATTTTAGTTAAGATTCATTTTTTTAAATTATTTTATTTAATAAAGGTCGAAAATTTTTTGAATTGTAAGGAATGCAACTTTTACGTCATTTTAAAGCATTTAATTTTACAAGGCAAAATATAAAATTTGAGAAAAATCGGTTGAATAGTTCCTGAGAAATCGTATTTAAAATATACGACTTTTTTAAAATTGAATTTCTTCCTGATTTTTATTTTATTTTGATACACTGGAGTACATGAAAAGTAATAAAAAGGTAGAAATTAATTGTACCGTCTTTTTTTAGTTCTTTATTCCTTAACTAGATGGCGATACCAAATTTCACACGTACCTGAGATTCGAAGTCAACGAAGTCGAAAGTGGATGGGGGAACGCCTCCTCCGATACACTTCTCTATCTGGCATGTCTAGCGAAACGACATTAGGTAAACATACCTGAGTGCAAAAAGCGAGCACGTTGTTATTACAGTGTCAACTCACGATTATTTGTGGATATTTAGTCAACAACATCTTGAACTCAACTTAAATGCCAAATTCTTTGTTATGGATTATACAGATGTGAAGGATGTTATTTATTAAGCGAGGTGAGTCTTCGATTTAATTTCAAAAAACCAGAATTCTTTTGTTTTTCTTTGATTATTTTTAATCTGTCAAAAGTTAATCTGTCAAGGTCGCCGCTGAGTTTTGCAACACCGGCTTTTTCTTTTCGTTCCCCAGTGTGTCACATTTTGATCTCAGCTTTATCGAAGACTGTTGTAACGGAAAAAGTTAAATTTTGTATTTTAAATCTCTTAGCATGTTTACATTTGTTTTTCATTTTGTTTGGAAAATCTAATTCTTAAAAATTTTCGAAGATCAAATTCTTTTTGTTTGAATTCTATGTAAAGATTATTTCTAAGAATGTAATTTCTTTGTATTTTTTTCTTATTTAAATTATACCAATTGATTTTGTTACGTTTTAATATTTTACAAGCAAAATTAGGCAATTCTCATGTAGAAGAAAATCATTTCTATTTTATTCCATAAACTACGCTTTTACTAAATTCAAAAATATTCTTTTCAACAAATCCTCCCAACTCTGTGATATTATAGACTAAAGATCTAACTATTTAATTTTGAATTTAAGTACAATTTAACTGTTCTGGTAGTTTAATTTTTACATCAGAAATTCAAAATACTTTTTCAAAATGCCTCTTTCATTTATTCAGAGGTAACAGTGGAATTAAATAAATAGATATTTTAAAGAATTTGACATGTTTATAATAAATAATTATGGATAGCTAATAGTTATATGAAAAGAAATACGCACTTTCTCATGTGTTTCCTTTTTTTTTTTTTTTAATTAACGTGTCTACAGTTTTATTTAAAAATAGCACGTGTCTTTCAAATTATTAAAAGAGCGGTTTAAAATTTGTTGCAAATGCACGGATTCTTTAATTTTAGTCTTCTAATCAAAACATGCTTTTCTTTTTTTTTCTTCTAAATTTAAAAAAAAAAATAAGTTAACGTTAGTTTAGTTAACGTTTAGTTTATAATAGTTAAACGTTTAGTTTAGTTTTGTTAAATTAATAATTCTTAACATTGAACTAGAATATTCATTGTTAAGTGCTCGTATCTGCTGACAAAATTAACTGTTTTTTTCCAATTAAAATCTGGTTGAAATTTTCGATAAAGCACATTTTTTTTTTAAAAAGGAAAAGGTAAGTAAGTTTCACTGCTGTCTATGATTGATATAATTTATTGTTAGTAAAAGTTATAATTATAAAACAAAAGAAATCAAATAATTCTCTATAAAATTTATAAGTTTTTAGGAAACCAATATCAACTGATCAAGTAGAGTATAAACCTATTTGATTCTCTGTTACGGGAGTTTACTAAAGTAACACCTGTTCCACGACCCCGATGTGCCTCCTCTTATTCGATTATTTTCTCATTCTTTCATTTAGTTTCAAGTCAAATGTAGTTTATAACACCTTACTCAATAAATGTGATATGGTAGGTTTTTGTTCACCCTGCATTTGGCTTTGTTGCACTTGGTTCATTGCTTTCGATTTTGATTTGATTAGAAAAACCAATGTTACCCGTTTCATTTCGTTGAGTATTTTCTCAAAAAATAATAGATATTAAGGGAAAAAAAATCGAATTTGGTTAACTACTGAAGAAAACTAATAACAAA